TTTTCACTTGCAGTCTGAATACCTACAATTTGCCTGTGTAGACATTCCCACCTTTCCATAACAACTGGGCAGCAAGATGCTGTTCATCTGTCTAGCGATGAACCTTAGCCAAAAATATAGCTTCAGGAGAGGATGTATGGAACACGAATATTTCCTTAAGCCTCTGCCCCTCAACAAGCACTGACCAGGAGTCTTGTGCCATGGCTTAGCACACCTCAGCTCGTTTCCTATTTGTTACGAGATCCATTTTAGTAGTGTCTCCAAAAATGCTAGCTTTTGTTTCAGCTGATCCTTCAATATTTGCCTAGCCTTCACTCAACACTTACTTCTCACGTCTAGTACAAACCCCTTCCTTTCTTCCCATCATCCTGCCATGATTACCCTGAGAATCTTCTCCAACCCTACAGCCTGTGAAATCCATCTGTGTTTTTTATACCAGTTCTCCAGCAGTTTTCATATTTCATCTGCTTTACACTGCTCTACGATTATTGTTTGCATCTATAACTCAATCCATTCCCTCTCCACTTTTTCCTTTGAGAGCTGAGGATACCATTCGCTGAACAGTGCTGAACCATAGCAGTGGGACTCCCTGTTCCTGAAGTACTTTGGAAGAGCAGCTTGCCTCTAGGTGTCAAAAGAATTTACAGCAAAACTGGTGCAAATATCAGCAAGAGTAGCACAGAGCAAAGTCAAGGATCTTCAACATCAAACCACACAGCAGGACCACTGAACCTAAAATTACCCTCATGCATAAAGGAAAAGCTCCTTTGAGAGAAGAAGAATCATTGAAAGGGGGCCAGCAACACACACCGATGAATCTGTGGATGTTGGACTTCTCTCCCTAATGCCATCCAAGTGCCAGCACTGGGGGATAATGAGAGAAGTCAGGTTGATCTTGGCTGCTACAGGCCAGATACAGAAGTCCCACGTGGCTTCTTTGTTTCCACCCCTGCTGCAGCAGAGATCAGAATTGGGCCCAACTCTTCTCCCAGCAAGCAGCTGTGGGCCACAGAGCATACAGAGACAGCCATTTGACTAGCACTGAGCACAATCCCCAGCTATTACATCCCCTCCCTCACTGCTGCTTCCCTGCTGGGCTTCATTAGCGTCAGCAGGATGTGATAAATGTGCCTGACAAACCTAATTTTAAATTTTGCCATCAAAACCCAACGCTCCAAAACCACCTACGACCTGCCACTAAATGCCTGCCTGCTGCCCTCCTTGTCCTCAGGTGGCCTAGGCCCCTTCTTGTCCCAGAGGGCTACAGAGGAAAATATCCCCTTTCACCCCTACCCAAGAGATTAGTGAGGATTAGTGAGAGCAGGACAGAGCAGGCAAGGGCAAAATGCGTTCTTGGGTCCCCAAAGTGTGGTGACAGTATTGAATCTACCCCCTTACTGGCCTTCACAGTCCCACAGAAGGTGCTGTTGGACAGGAAGAGAAGAGGGGAAAAGGGTGCAGTGGGCCACTGCGGGATGACCAACCCACAAGGAGATTTCCTTCCGAGTCAGCCGATGGTGAAGGTTTGGTTTCTTCCCCACAGATGGGCTATCACAGACACTAGGAGATCTGAGTTCCTCCCAGTACATAGTCCAGCCATCCCTCAGGCAGGGACCAAATTCTCCTCTGGACTGTGCTGGTGCAGCTCCAGCATTATAACAGGTAAGTGAGCTCAGCAGCCTCCGTGCCAAGCCCCTTCTCTGCCGAGAGAACTGCTGCTGCTGATCCCTCTGCACCCCTCCTGTGGCAGAGCCCTGCTGTCAACTCGGAACCCAAGGAGAGGGCACTGAAGTGCCAGGAGGGCAAGCAGAGCACCCGCACTGGGTAATTACCAACCAAGCCTGGGCTCACGATGATGCTGTGCACTGAACCCTGCCTCAGCGCAGCTGCTAGACCACTCGGGAGAGGGAAAGGGAGGGGGACAACAAGGCAAATGCTTGGATACCACTGCTAAATGCTAATGTCTCATAATGAGGGGGCCCTGGTGCCAGCTTTCATCAAGGACTTGGCGATCCTACTTTGACGAAGGTGCTGCAATCACGTCACTGCCCTTTCAGCCAGCTGCAGTGAGCCAGGAAACGCTGGCCTGAGCAACTGGGAAGGAGGGAGAGGCTGAATGGGGTCACTGAGTTAGGAAAGGGGAGGATAATGAGCTACTGCGGCAGTGCTCTAATGGTACCTATCTGAGCATGTCACACGCTATCAGTTTCAGAGCTCGGCTTCCTCACAGCAGCCTGTAGAGATGAGGCAGATCCATTCCCAGGGGAACAGTATGCTATAACCCTACTCTTAATAAGAAATAAGATCTCTGCTGGTACAGGAGAAATACCTCAGTAAGCTAGGAAACAATTTATTGTTGGAGATGAGCAACACATGTCAAGCTACTGCCTTCTCGATACTTCCCTTCCACCTTATACAGAGGATTCGCCATGCAAATGAACACCCAAATCACTTCAGAAATAGGCACGAAGCAATTTCTTGTCTCCCAGATGTTTTCTACTGTCCTCAGGGGTCCTTCCCTTCTTATAGACTGAAGTGTGTTCTTGAATTCTCTATCTTAAGTATATTATCCCAATGGCGATCTTTGAAATTGCTGTCAACATTCAGACACTAAGTTTTGATGCTACTCTGAGCCTCAAGAAGATCCAGAATGTAAAGCAGAGACTTTTGCTGGATGACTTTCTGTTTTTAACTACTTCCCACTGCACCAAACCCGATTTGAACCCAGCTGTTGACTAGATGGACTGAAGCTGTCCTCATTGTCTAGGCGATGCAGAACTCTGTGCCACACTGAGGGCCATTGCTTTGAGCGATGGAACATCCTCTTGTTCTGCTTACCGACAGCATTCATCTGCAGTGCATCAGCATGAGAGGCAATGACACGAGTTACAACACAGAAAATTCCAACTAGGTATTAGGAAATCATTTTTTTCTTGAAGATTTTCAAAACTCAAAGTGACAAGGCACTGAGCAATTTGGTCTACGTTGGCTCAGCTTTTAGTACCAATATTGTACCACAGACCTCCAGAAGTCCTTCCCAACCTTAATTATTCTGATGTTACCAACATAATCATAGATGAGGGCTGTGCTAGTGTATGTATTTCCAATAGTTGCCAGAGAGACAATACACAAGTCCCTCAAAAGAAGTTCAGAGTTCTGTCAAGAATTTTCATTATCCACATATATGCAGACTTGTGACAAGCCAATCAAACCAACAAAACAACCCTAGGCTTTTTCAGGGGAGAAGAGATGAGCCTGAAACCGCCCTGATGTTCTCTTACTGTCTTGTTACACTGCAAAGTACACACCTCAAACCTCTGAAACGATGATTTCATTTTTATCAAAAAATTCAGATCAAATGTGGTTTTAATCAACATCAACAACAAACCCCAACCATGTAATAACATCAGACTCCCCTTTTCCGTGATATGGGGATGTTTATAAGCTGTCTCCCTACAATACCCATTTCCAGAGACACATAACAATTATTTCTCGAACGATCTGCAGATGAGAAACCGCTGAAAATGTGAAACCCGCTGGCACATCACAGAATTGTTTTTTCCAGTCTTTCAGTACCAACAAGACTCTTAACCTCAAAGATCAGATGAAAAGTGCCAGACGGTGCTTCATTTCCATTTCCTCCATTCAGATCCAGCTTAATGGCTTTTAACTTTCTGCATTATGTGTGCAAAAATGCAGCAGAAGATCAGGATGTATTATCGCGGACTCAAGAACATTTCCGTTTTTCACTGCGACCAATTTTCAAGCCCATACAAAAGATTTTATTTCTGCTCTTCCCCACTGCCCCCAAAACAGAAAAATGGCAATTTCTTGGTATGGAACCTAGTAAAAAACTCATTAGAACTAACGGGGAGTTGGAGAATCCGTTATCTTTACACCTCTTCAGCAGGGCACCTGCACAGCTCCCAGGTGCTTTTACAGCAGAGGGAGGTCTGGCCAACAGCAGTGATTTAAAAATCCCCAAGACTGGCTAAGAACTGATTCAGTTTCTTCTGCTCCCCCTAACATGTCACAGAATTAATTTTCTTTGAAGCTGATGCTTTGATTAATTAATAAAAACCAAACCAAAACAAAACAAACAACACCCAACAAACAAAAAAACCCACAACCAAAATGCACACGTTCTGATCCTGCAGCTTTTTAATGGCCCTGTAACAGTACATGTGGCAAGGAAGATGCTGGAGCTTCCTTTCAGACTAATTTCAGATTTGATGAAATAGTGTGTGATAAACTGAGAAAGAACACATAGACTTAATATTTTAAGCTGAATCCCGGAGAAAAGAGGAATTTCTTCTTCAGCTTAAGCCATGTGGAAGCTTTCTGTGCATGTCAGCCTGGTTTCAGCCACACTCTCCGTCACGCAGGCCCATAACTAACACAACTTACTTGCCATATTTTTAGGCCTTGGATTTCCCCTCTTCTCCAAATCACACTCTTTTGCCTCACAGGTTACTCATGCCCTATCATGTCAGGTAATAACAGTTCTTACATAGAGTGTGTGACCCTCATCCCTCTGATTTGGTACTTCAGTGACAAAGGAGCCAGGTGAATGTGTTGTGGATACAATTTTCTTCCTGTCTCACTTTATACTTCTCTCACAATTATTTTTCTCTGGATGGAAAGGAAACGCTTAGCAGTCAACCCAAGGAACACTGAGCTAAGCAAACTGACATTACGGTGGCACCAAGACAGCAGGCTGCAGAGACCTTCAGATTCACAACAACAGAATGATGCTGCACTGCCTAAGTGTAAAATGCTCCTTTTACGCACCATCAGAAAAGAGAACTATTTCCTCCCACCTCCTCCTGGGAGAATGAAAACAGATCAGAACCTCAAACCAATCCTTGCACTGGCAGGAACTCAAAAGGTAGACTTGGGAGGGGTTGGAGGAAGATATAAAGGCTGGTAGCTGGAGACACGGAGCAACACTGAACAGGAGAGACTCAAGGGGAGGAGGAATCAGAGTCCAAAACATGAAGATGAACCTGAAACTTCTTTTTTGCCCTGGATTCCTTCTGCTGCTTATTGTCAGTCAAAACCAGGCAAGGGCCAGGCCCATTTCCAGCTTACAGGTAAGTGACTGGCTGCTCAATAGAACTGAAAGAAGATGATGCTTCTTTAGGACTTAGACACTTCAGATTAGCTCCATTTCTTCCAACCCCAGCTAAAGCAGAAGGAGATACCCACAGACACCATAACAGCAGGAACGCTGAGGTGGGCAGACACAGAGTTATTACATGGAGGGAGACAAAAGTAATTGATTACTGGATTTAAATTTCTCATCACATGAGGCAATTGGAAGCAAAATGGTTTTTTTCTGTGGGGTCAGTTTGGGGATTGCAGACTTAGGGTCATCCTGTGACTGAGTGAAGCAATAAGCTTTTGGAGTAAAAGGATTTTTTCTGGGAGGACTCCTGTCCGTGAGCATGGTCGTGCATGGTCCTCCCTGAAGCCCCTATTTTAAGCTGAAAAAGGAATCAATGGGTTGTACCTGCATGATCTCCCCCTCAGCTCAGTAGTGCAGTATTGCAGTCCCTGCTTATTACAAGTCCCAGAGGTAGAACATAAAAAAAAAGAGAAAGCGCTTGTGTGTGTGTGTATTTGTGTGAGCAGGAATTTCAAGTCATTAGGAAAATATATTTCAGTTACCTGTCCAGGAATCTTGTATTCCCAAATACGAAATAACCTCCCAGTTTGCAAAGAAATATATAATCCTTCCAGCACCAATTTCAGCATGTCTCCTGTCATTGCATCACTTCTCTTATTATTCCGAGGTAAAAACTATTTTTTTCTTGTTTCTTATTCGCTCTTGACCAAGCCTGTTTCATCATCTTTCACAATTTATCCCCCAGCCCAGATTCCCAGCTCCAGGAAAGACTTAACCGGCAGTTTGTCAGCTCAGAGTACGGTAACAGCATAGAGCCTTAGAGCAGTGTTAGCTCAGAGCTGCTTGGTGAGCCAGAAGAAACTAAAGATAAGCATCATCAGCTTCAGAAATCACTTCATACTTTCATCTTTTGATAAATGTTCAAAATAGGTTTCTCCACACTTAGCACTGAGCATGGCTTATATGAAAATAATGACAGAGTTCCCACAACCCTTCATTTTCCTCCTCTCTTCCCACTCCACCATCTACCTTTCCCTTTTTTCAGAGTCTGTCCAAACTGTTAGATGAGGACCTCGAGCACCTCCTGGTCTCAGAAGAGAGAGACAATGAGCAAGACAACATGATCCCAGGTGCCTTTGATCAGCAGGACACTGAATTCCAGTGGATCCGAAACACCAGGGACCAGCCTGAGGGCACGTCCAAGGGTGATAGTGCTGTCCAGAGGTTCTTCAGCAACCTCCTAAGTTTACCCCGTAGCTACCGAGGCAGAAACAAAAAGGGCCTCTCTAGGGGCTGTTTTGGTGTGAAGCTGGACAGAATCGGGTCACTGAGTGGACTGGGATGCTAACTGCTTACTATGGTAAGAGAAAGCCAGAGGCAGGTGGGGTGTGTGTTTGTGTGTAACTTGCATAAATATGCAGAAGAGCAGATTTAATTCAGCTTTAAGAAAACGGTGCCTTAGAGTAAGTTGTACCCTCCTATTGCAAACAGTTTACTAATTTTACCCTCCTCAGAATTCACTGTCATCAGATGTACACTTAAAAGCTGCGAATGCCACATCTCTGCTTTACCTGCTTTCACTCCTTTCTCTGAGTCAGCTGTATGCATTTCATCTTGCCACGGAAGCCAGATCAGGGGGGGTTTCACCACCTCCTCGGGGATGCTTGTGTCAATTCCAAGAAATTCTGAGCAGAACACTGCAGCTGAATCTAGCCCTAGAACAGTAAGAAATCTGTTAATTTCCATGGGTGAAATCCTGTCCACTTCTCTTTCTTTTACTTATTCCTCTGCTTTCTTAACAGGGCTGACTTTGAGGTTTTAAAGGACCGGTTGCCTTTCAGTGAGATATTCAGCCCTTGTTCACATTGGCTCCACCAATCCATCTACTACATGATGTACTGAGCAAACTGCACCCCACCTCTCCCCGAATTACTTGGCCAATAGAATACACCCTTGCTGTACTGCCTATTTGTATCAGAGCAATGATTTGTGAACATCTATCTGAAATATAATTACAAAAGGCATTTGTACTGTTTGTGTACTAAATGTATAAATAAACAAGTCTCGTTATGTCACAGATAATAAACTGTTTTCCATAATTTGGTAAATTTGCTCCAAGCCTTTGCTGTGATTCTTTCATGTATCATTCCTGAAACTGAAACTGTGCCCCAGTTTGCCGTTAGACAAAATCCACAGAATTCAGAAGCATGTCAGAGGGCTGCTTTCTAGTAAAAAGGATGTTATAGCTGCTTAAAAAAAAAAAAAGACACAATCGAACAAGCCCTTCTTCAAAAAAAAAAAAAAGACACAATCAAACAAGCCCTTCTTATTACCAAAAGAACCTTTCAGAAGTTAAGATACTACTGTCTCAACAAAACAGGCAAAAGACTGACATAGCCATCCTCACAAAAGTCTTAGCTGACATCAGTGAAAGCTGTTACTCTGTTTGCTTCTGCCACTGGCAGAGGAAGACAATTGTTTCTTACTCGTATATCTTGTCACCGAAATAAAAAATGCTACCCTCCTTTGAAGAAAATTCAAAGGCACCTACTTTTCCATAGGCAGATCCAGATAGTGCAAAGCATTTTTCCAGAAAAAAAGTCAAGATTATACATGAAATGCATCTGACTGGTTTTATTTTTTAAGCAAAACAAGTGTTCACTGAATCTAACTATGAACAAATCGGAGAACAGCTGCTTGGCAAACATCCTGAGCCAAAGGGATTCTGTACAAAGGCTGGTTTGCCAAGATCATGCCTGTGCTATCCCAGTGTTGATGGGAGCTGAACTCTGCAGGCAGCTCCATGGACATCAGTAAGGCTGCTCACACAGACGTCTGCACTGACAGCCACCAGTGAAGGCACAGCTGTTCACTTCCAGCCTCGTGCTTGGAGTGGACAGATGGCCTACACAGTGGTACTCTTCCCATTTTCTTGCCCACAAGACACATGCTCCTGGAAGAAAATATTCTGGTAATAAACCTACTCCTAACAGGACGCCTGGATACGAACTGCAACACGGAGCACAAAACCTATGCAAAGCAAGTTCATCACGATACCCATAGAATGAAGATGATCCAGGACCTGTTGGAGAGCTATTCAGAGCCAAACTAGAAAAAGCTTTGTACTTTTTTCATGCTATTTTCAACATACAGCTTCCACCCTGAAGCCACAGACTGGCTCTAGGAAGGACATTGGTACAAGCAGCTCCTAAACATGTTTCAACACTTAAGAGATGATTATATAAGACCAGAAAGTGAAAGCACAGAATGATTTATTAATGGATATACTCTTTCCTTCCATAAGGTACCAACAGCTCTCTACTTTCTTGCAAACTTTTACTTTTTCAGCATCTCTTGCACATTTAGAAATTACCTGTCGATGTCTATTCCATCCCCCAGAATTTTTCTCTCCTCAGACCAGTAGTTATGAGGCTACCAACACAAATCCTGAGCAGAAAATTCAACAACACATCCTGAAGGCTTCACTAGTTAACAGTCTTTATTAGGTCTTATGCTGTTGGCTATTTACTCTGTTTAAGCTAACTTCAATAACAAAGCAGCAACAACAGTGAAAATGCTCTAAACAGACACTTGCTGGCAAGGAATGGTCTCATCACTTACTTAGACACTCCTGAGTACAAGCTCTCAAACAGTGGAATGGTCCATGTAACAAATTGATTATGTTCTGTGTTTGCCTAAGCAAAGCAACAAGAAAATAAAGCATTTCACCAGTCAGATGAAGGATTAAAGTGGGGAATGGAGGATGAAAGAATAAATCAGTTCCCAGCGTATTTCACGTATCAGTGGATAGGCTATGCCTGTCTTAAAACTAATGCTGCAGTCTGGGTGGTGTGAACAGCTTTTCTCGATGGAGCCCCATAGACTGCACAGTAATTCATGGGAAAATTCTCCTGGAGGTCTGGAGTCCTGTTGAGCCATATAGATAACACCCTCCCTCGCTGTAGCTTCCATCATACAAAGACCTCTGCCCTGCACAAACACGAGCAAAGAGATTTCTGCTTCATTACTCTAACACCTTCATACAATCAGGAAGAGATTTTCACTTCTTTTCCCTCAATACACAACAATTTACTAACACTAAAAAGCAGCAGACTTGCTTATTTATGGGAACCTGCCAGGAAGCACCCAGCTTTTGTAAATAGAGTCCCTCTCAGGTGTGCTAGCCCCGGGGCTGACCCAGGTGCAACCTATGTGGTGGAGAGGTTAATCCATCCAGCCCACGGAATTACAGTGTCAAACAATGAAGAGCTACTATTTTGTGACAGTTGGTGCTAATGGGAAGGTTACAACCTCCTTCCTAATAACCTTGGGTCTGACAGCTTGCCCTCCATAACCCTAGGAGCAGGCACATTCTTATAGGCATAAAAATTTCCTGGTGTTGAAATTTCAACACTGAATACACTGAAAATCCAGTGAAGGGTAAGTGGTACTGGAGTTTGTTTCCTGAACGTCCTCAGCCTGTTTCCAAACTCAGCTACACTAATGCAAACTATGGGTCATTGAAATTATTTGCAGATAAAATAACAGAGGTCACAGGAGGTTGAAGGCTGCGCTGTGAGGACTTCTGAACAGAATCCTACAGAAGATGAATAAGAAACAGAGAAGAGCTCCAATTCCACAGAGGCTGAGCTGGTAATGTGCCATCCCATCACCTGGCATTTTGTGTGAACATTTTAAAAAGCCACTTTTCAGAAAGCAAGAACAATTTATTTCACATAAAAGGCTCCGTAATTAGATCCCTAGGACTGAAGCCAGGTGTGTTTGTACTTTAGGTAATTTGCTGAGTTCTATTAGCATTTAAATAATCAAAGGTAACCTTTGAAGTTAGCATGCCAGTCAGATGGGGGAAGCTCATCTCTAGCTGTGTCATTTCCATCTCCACGAAGCAGCAGTGCATGAATCTACAGACTAGCATTACAGAGGTTGTTGAGGAGAAAAGCCTGCAATAAAATTCTTCCTACACAGAAAAAACGTACAGCTTTCTCACATGTGTCTGCTTTTTGGGTACCTGTTTATAAGCGATGTTAGGCAGCAATCAAAATTCAGGCTCATCCAAGACTCAAGTCCCCTTGGTTGTCACACAGATCCTATACACTCTCACTGCTTTACCCCTTTCCACTCCTGTCTGGCTTTACGGCAAACGAAATTGAGGATGATGCACATCCTGACCTTAGCTATCTGCTCTTATTCTGTACCAACATAACACTCCCACTGGATGCAAGCTTCCTTCATCCATGTACTTCCAAAACACGCACCTCATTTCTCTGCCAGACTCTTCTGTGCTGTGAGGCTTTGAACAAAACCGCTTACCAACTGTTAAGACTGCTGGATGCAGAGATCATTGTCCCTCACCAGCTGATACCGCTAGTTGGCTTCCAATCTAAGATAAATTATGTCAGCCATAGGTAGATTTGTGGAACAGAAGGGCAAGAAAATGGGAGAAGGAGATGAACAAACATAATGTATGTTATTGCTTGTTCACACAGCACCTAGCAGTAATAATTCCACAATAGCTTGGTTCAAAACCATCTGACTCAGAGGAAAGGCTTTCTTTGGTTTTGCTGAGGTTTAGGACAACCTCTGAAATAAAGGCCCAAGCAGAAATCACTGTATATCAAGTGAAATCAGAGAGATTTATGAGTGCACTGGCTAAACAAATGAGGAGGGCAGAAGGCAGAGACTTAGTGTAAAATTGCTTTCATATTACCCAGGCAGTGACTGAAAGGACCCTGCTGCAGTGGATATCATGGGTTCTGCAGGGTCATGTTGATTTACACCCCGGGACCAGTGGAAATTGTGCTCATTTATAGTAGAAATTTGCCACTCACACAGGAGAAATGCTGAAGGTTTTACTGAAAGTTAATAAGAAACTGCTGCAAAGCTCTGAGGCAAAATAAGAGAAAGTTTCATACAAACAGGCTGCCTGTTAGAGTCACCAAATTGGTAATTCAGACACCTTTATCTGGGGAGCCTAAATCCAAGGAGCTACAAAATCTCTTTCTTTGGGTAAGGCTCCTGGGCTTTCTGGAAAGAACTTTTGTTCCACAGGAATTTCTCAATCCAACCCAAGCTGTGGGGGCCAGAACACGTCATCATTTATGGGAAAGATGGTGGGATATGAGGAGAGGGCTGTGACTGCTGCAGCCAAGGCATGGCTGGAGAGCAAGTAACATTTAGTGCAAAATGGTCAGCTGTATCATTGCTCAAGGCAGACTTAGGCCGCTAAAAGGTTAGTTCCTCAGCTACAGAGGGAAGGGTTTGCCGACAATGCCAGAGGAAGGCAAGAATCACCACTGCATGGACTTACAAGGAAGAAAAATCTCCTCA